ATGATGATGATGATGATGATGATGATGATGATGATGATGATGATGATTAAGCCAAGCAGTGGTGGCACACACCTTTAATCCCAGCACTGTCAGGAGGCAGAGGCAGGCAGATCTATAAGGCCCACCTGGTCTACAAAGTGAGTTCCAGGACATCCAGAGCTACACAGAGAAAGCCTGTCTCAAAAAACAAACAACAGAAAAACCCTTCCCTCATAGACTCACAGAGCAATAAGAAATAATAACATATAAACAGTTTGTTGATCAAACAACATTTTTTAGGGATCAGCTCTAAGAAATACACTCCGTGCTATGAAAGGCAATAAATTTGGGCACACTCTCTGGCCTAAAGAGTTTCAATGAAGCTGATGCCCCCAAAAGGAAAGAGCATGATGTAAAATGTGTTAATTGGTAAATTAAGCACAAATCCGTGAGTTAAAATATAGAATTCTTTCTTCAATATAGAATTCTGTCTTCACTGATTTCTGAATAAGCACTCAGAAAATAGTGCTATAGAGCAGGCATTCCACCGTTTCTTTTAGCGTTTTCAGTTTTACTACATAAGGACAAATGATGAGCAAATCAAATCTACCCATCTGGGGTGGCTCACACCTGCAATCTAAGCACAGAGGAGAATGGCTACAAGTTCAAGGCCATCATGGGCTACTTAGTGAGTCCTAGGCTACCCGGAGCAAGGCACCATACCAAACAACACAGTGCAAATGCCTGAGCAGAGGAAAGGTGAGGATGAGTTCCTCCTCAGAGAGCATGTGTGAATGCCAGCATCCCACACACGGGTCAGTCATCACATGTCCACACAGTCCGTTCTTCAGCTGTTCTTCAACCTAGCCATCCCTGAATATGGTTTGCTCATTAACACAGAAGCCAGTATCTCCTCAGTGATAATCACATTTTTCACAAGAAAAACAAAACAATTACAGCATTTTCAGTGGATTTCACATTACAGCTAATATTTTAGGAGTATTTATTGATGGATTTCTGGTTTCAAATATATATGAAGTCTGATTACCCTGAACCAGCAAACAGGGTCTTGAAGTTAATATTGTTCATTCACTTTAAAACTACTATTCAAGGGATATTTTCTGCATTTACACTGATATGACATACAGCTTGGATTAAAGACAAGCAGAATCTTAAACTCCATCCTGTACCCCCAAAACCAACACTGGCAAGGTTATTTCAACAGGCATTTATGGTCACATAACTCAATGCAGTTTCTTTTCATTTCATAAGTTCTGTTACTCACATTCAATATTTGTTCACTGGGTTTGGGTTTAAATAATTCGTAAAATCTATAAGCAAAAGCATTTACATTTTATGTCACCACATACTTAACAAAATGCTTAATAAAAATAACAAGTTCACACTGTGAAAATTAGTCTAGGTAAAATCAGCTCACTTTACCTGTGGCTTTTGGTTTGGCAACCAAGTCTAACCTTCCCTGTCCTTTCCATCAAGCCATGGACAGGGAGAAGTCATAGTTCTGGAGTGAGCCATAAAAAGGTATAGGGGCTATAAGCACGTGTGTAAATTGCCCAGGACATTAAGTATATCACTACATTTAAAAAAGATGAAAATGCTGTGTTCTCCCCCCACCACCCCCAAAAAGGTAGAGTTTCTTTAGGCAGTAGCTTCTATCATGGGCTTTAAAAATTAATACTACAGTTCGACTTCTAAGCCTTCAAGAACTCAGCTATTATCATAATATTATAACCCATTACCATATTGTGAGGAATCACTGGATAGAAGATTGAGATGAGGTGAACATGCAGTGATCAGAGAATTTGTCACAAAATAAAAGATGAGACACACATGGAGCCCCTAGAAAAGCCAAACAGGGAGTTCAGCTTCCTAAGGGTCCAGTGTCCCAACACAGCCACAGCGGACTCAAAGTCTGATTTGGCTACAAAACAAGGACTTGATATCTCTGACCAGAATATGCGCTGTGCAGGAAAAATAAAGCCATTAAGTTCTGTAATTGCAAGGGGCAGAAACTCAGCTCATGAGAGTGTGCTGCTTGCATGACATAATCCTGGGGAAACCAGTGGCAGAACTGGCCTCAGAAATGCCCAGCTTCAAAACAAAACAGCTGGATTCTTTACCTGTTGGCTAATTCCCTCAGCCTGGCTGCTCCAGCTGGCTAAAATTCAAGCCACTTGCTGACAGCAACAGTGGCTTAGCACGCAAAGGTACTAAGGACAAACTAGGTCTAGTCTGCGAACAAAACACTGTCACGCAGGGAACTGAGGCTTTTTAGAGTCATACTGCTAAATAAAAAAAAAAGGCTAAAACGTACATAAAGAAACAAGTTTAGTTCAAGGTGTTCTGAGTCCTACTTGGGATTAGGATATCACTGTCCTCTCGAGTTGAGCTGAGGGCAGCTCACAGTTCCTCTTTGCAGACTGTACTGTTTGAGAAGGGCAGACACCTGGACCTAGGGGAGACAATCACCACGTCCCACCTCCCTGTCCTCCACAGAACGGTGTGTTGGTATTCACCTGACCTTACACAGTCCAACCTGAGAATTTTCTTAGGATATTCAGTTTTAAATGTTTGAAGCTTGACAAAAATATCCAGGGAAATCTTAACGGCCTCTCGTGAGCATTGGGGTGTGCGGTGCAACTCTGTAAAATTAACTGACGTTAGATGCAATTTCCAGGGTCCCACACCAAGTGTGTCTTCCACAGGAAGGCAGGAGGGAGATCTGGCCAGCGATTCTGATCAATGGACCAAGAGCCATTTAAAGAAGAGATTTAAGTACATAAAATAGAAGAAAGGGGCAGAATATCTATGAATAGAATTCGGAGACACCACAGAGTAGAAAGGAGGACTGAGTAATAGAACAACAAAGGAAGGGTGCCTCAATAGACTTTTCAAGTAGATCAAAACAGTGGCATCTGAAAAAGCTATAGAAAGAACCCTATGGCCACAGAGACGGTGAGAATTCATAATGTCCCTGATTTAACTTAATAGTAGAAATCTACATACAGAAGGGGAAACGGACTCGGAGCTTTTGATTTTAACCAAAATGGAAAGTTCAAATAAAAATGAACAGCCTCCACCTATTCTTACTTTTAGATCTGAGAGAGACCTATAATCTGTGCTTCCTGCTGGGAAAATAAAAGAAAGCATGATGCAGCGCCTGCGTTCCCTCGTATCTTTAGCCAGAACCTTCCAGTGTGCAGTTCTCTCAAGGTGAATGATGGACCCCAAGAGCAGTTAGAGCAGAGACACACTTCAATGTGGGCATGAAGAGCTTCCCCGGGGGACTTCACTCACTGCTGTGAGTACAGAATGTGC